CCCAAAAATGCACCCAAGAGTTGAGCATCGGTCCAATCCGAAATGCAGCATGATAATCAAATGAAATGGCCCACTTAAGATTCGACAGTGGTTATTTATGAGATGTGGGACAAGGCTATGTTGAAATTCAAGGCGTCGGAGGGCCCAAATCTCTGAAGCAACTATGTTGAGAAGATGGCCCAAGAGGAGAGGGGGTACCGCATCTTAAACCAATGGAGCCAATAGGCAGCATCACCTCCCAGATAGAGACCATCCACGATCATGCGGAGGTGGTCCTCAACCTTATGGTATTCCAAAATCTCTTCCACCATTGCAAGCCAGCCTTAAGGATCGTCCTTAAAGAAACGAGGAAGTTCAATCTTCAAATGACGAGGTCCGGAGATGGATAAGGAAGGGGGTTAGTAGGGTTGGATGTCGTATGGCTCAAGGGTGAAAAGTGGTAGGTGCAGCCCGCTGGAGGGTGGTTGTAGGTACCTAGAAGTGGAAAGACAGCTGAGAAGGTTGGTGTTGGGGGCGAAGGGTTAGATGAAGGTAAGGGAAGAGGAATTTGCCGCCATGTAGGATCTAGGAGGGTAGGTGGTGGTTACTGATGGGGAATGAGATGAACCCTATGTGGATGGAAGGATGGGAGTGGGAATGGTGGAAAAAGGGGTGGAGCCGAGGGAAATGGGTATGGTGCAGATAGGTATGTGGGAGGTAGGTTAGGGGGATTTTTAGGGAGCAGAGTTCATTAAGGATCGTTTGATGAACTTGGTCCTGACGAATCCGATGGGCCGAAGAGTCGGCGAAGGAGTGTTGGAGATCTGTGATTTGGTTCTGGAGGTTTTTGTAGCGAAGGTTCACTAGAGACAAAGACTCCTAAAAGTCCTGGAGTTGTTGGTATTGAAATTCACAATCCAACTCGGCCTCAGTGATATCGGCCACAGTGACAAAGACCTTGCTTTTGCCCATGGATGCACACCTGGGCTCTGGATACCAAATGGTAGGTACCAGCCGCACCAAGGAGACAAGATTGCAAAAAAAAAAAGGAAAAGTTACAGATCAAGAAGATAAGTTGTTATTTCATAACCTTCCAGGAAACTATAAAAGGGTTGTATATATCCCATAACAACCACTACAGACAAAAGGTTAGGTGGCCAAATACTGAGTCACCATATTCTAGTATCCCACTACTAGATAATTAAAATAAGCTAAGGAAATGAGCTACAGTATAATGAGGTCCTAACACACTCTCTGTGCAGCGCTCTTTCTCACCCTCCATCCCTCTCTGTAACAAATCGTCTCTCTCTCTCTTTTCCTCCCTTTCTCTCTCACTTCCTCGTCAGATTCGTCAGGGAATCTGAGGTCTGTGGGTGCGATTCGAGGTTGAAAGGGATGGGAAGAATGACAAAAAATAAAAGACCGCCTAGCACCACCACCTAAACACCGCCTAACAACGCCTAGGCCCGCCCAGGAGGGCATCTAACACCTCTCCGCTTTTGTTCACCGACTAACACCTAATCAGAATGGCACCTCACTAACCAGCACCTAGGCAGCCGCCTAGGTCATTTTTTAAAACACACAGTATCTAATTACAGGCCTGGGAAATCTACTGACATAGAGATTGCCCGACGGACCTCCATCAGGTAAATTCTAATTGGTCAAAAGTCGAATTTCTATTTTTATTGTGTCATAGATATCCACCCCATGTGGGGACAAAATCCACTAGCACAATAATTAACCAACGGAAGTTACATCCATTCATCAACTACTAGCATAGTGTGTGAGATTTTTTTTATTATCATTATTAAATAGAAGGAGAGAGGAAGAGAGTGATAGATAGGTGAGACTTTGAAAAAAAAAACAGCAAAATTTGGTTGTGTGAAATTATATGTCTGTTCCATATTTTTTATTCATATTCTGTTTTAATTAGAAGGTTAAACTGGTAATTTTATGGGGTTTTGGTTGACAATAAATGTTTTATTAATTAGTTGAGATAAATAGCTTCCTTTCTCTCTTTATCTTTCTCATCAGTGTCTTCCTCTCTTCATATCTATACTAGTTTCATAGAATTCGTGGGAGTGGTGGAAGAAAAGATTAGAGAACTCATACAAGTGTTTTGTTTTGTAAAGCTAGTTTTGGGTTATTCATTTTAGAATCAGAAAGTTATGAGAGTGGTGGGAGGAAAGAATTTATCATATTTAACCAAAATTTAACCTCTAATTTCATAAATGTTTATTTTATTTTATAAAAACTATTCATTATGGCCAAAAAAATACATGAACAAACCTAAAATTGATACACAATTACTCTAAACCCAACAACATACCGGAGTAAAATGACTTGGGTTATCAGAAATCTCACCATCGCAGCCACGTTTGCCTCGTCCCCCATCCCGAACCACCCACCGCCGCAACCCCTCCCCCTGTGTCCATCCTCTCTCGTTATGGTGTAATGCTCAATTTATTAAAAAAAATATATTATAATGTATGTTCTTATATTAATTATATACTTTCTGTTTGTCTTCAAAACCTAACAAATCAAGGGAAGCAAAGTTAAAGGAGGGTGGAGCATTGCAAAAAAAAAAAAAAAAAAAAAAAAAAAAAAAAGCATTTTTATTTCTTGGAGAGGTGGAGATGAGGCTGTGATCGATAAACAAAAGAAATTCAGTTCTTGATGAATACATATGATTGTTTGCATGGCGGTGTTCGAATACATGGCCAATCTAAGGTTTGGATTTTCAGGGTTGTATTGTTTTTAATTTGGAGGGTATTAAAGTCTATTGAAGTGTAATTTTGGTTATATTTGAAAGTTTTTATAAAAACTGACATTTATGAAATTAGAGTCTTAATTTTGGTAATTTATGAGTGATGGGGTTGTTTTTAAGGATATTATAGTGTGTGGGTAGACAGTGTAGATGTAATCTTAGGTCAGTTAAAGTTAATTGTCGGGGTTTGTAGTAACTATAAGATTTGGAATTATAATGTTATGACTAGTAGTTTCAAAGGAAACAAGGATCGTCTTGTAGGCTAGTAGAGTAATTTGTCTGTGTCGATGAATGTGGTGACCAGAAGTTACTCGAATGACTTCCAAGTGGACGAAAATTATCGACGCTAAATACACTGGCTGATTGAACACGATATTTTGGTCAGCAAACCATGAATACCGAGACTAAAATGCTTTCTAGTTAAAGCAACAAAACCTTGGGAGTTTTGTGGAAATCATGTACCATGAGAATGAGATTGTAGCATAGCGACGAAGTTTACAAGAGTGTTTAGTGTTCAGTTGGAAACTGATATATCACTCATACCTCTCTACACAAAGACATTGCCAAATCAAATCTTGCAAATTACATCTCTCTCTCTCTCTCTCTCTCTCTCTCTCTCTCTTAAAGTGATATAGCATTGATGCTGCTGCTGCTGATGACGATGTTGAGCGTGAGGAAATTGATACATTAGCCGCTTTCATGAATTCTATAACGTTACCCTCTCCACGTCGCATTACGCTTTGAGTAGAATTTCACCCCTTTTAAAATTTTTGTTTTTGCAAAAATAATCTTAGGTGGATTGAAAAAGCATTTTATGGAAAGCTTAATCTGACTCTCAGTTCTTGGTTTATTGTTTCTCAGCCAGCTAATCCCACTTTTGATATATTTTTTTTTTCTTTTGTTTTGTCTTGCTTGCATGTTCAATATTGTCTCGAACTCGAAGCTATTCAGGAGATGCGAACGTGGTGCGATTCTTCAGTTTGAAGGAATGTATGTGCTTTACAATCTTCTAGTCGATGTTCCAGGTTTTGTTTTTGGTAGTGTTGTTTGGGAATTGCTGGAGCCAATAAGCTGCCCTTCAAAAAAGGATTTGCTTTTGCTACTGTTGTTTGCTATAACGGATTACTGACTTCCTTCGAACGTAACTAATATTGCGCACTTTGCTTTAGTTTTGCTGCTTTTACCTTTTTTTTTACTTTTTGATTGTCATGGTCGTTTTATTTGTTGCGAATGCATTATATGATTTAAATTCTGAAATATTTTTCAATATGTCTGGAACACAGGCACATACTGTCATCTCTCTTTGTTACAAGCTTATATAGTGTTGATGATGATGATGATGATGATGATGTTGAACGTGGTGCTATTCTTTAGTTTGAAGGCATGTATGTGCTTTAGAATCAAGAGATGTGAATGTGGTGCGATTCTTCAGTTTCAACCTTGAAGGGTTACTAAGTTCATTCAGAGATAAATAACTCTGCGTACTTTAATTTTGCGAATGCGTTTTATAATCTAAGTTTTAAATCGAAGACTCTGCTTGCTTTCAAGTAAAGACTTAAATTTTTTCGAAATTTTTCCATTTTTATATCTGATTTGTCCGATGGAGTTAATTAATCTTTGAATTAAACGGGGATGGGTTAAAAAAAAAAAAGTGAATGAATATTTTAATAATTTTCAATAGAAAACACAATGAAATTGACTAAGTCGAAAACATAGTAATTAAAATTAATTTTAACCATAAACACATTTAACCCTATAAAAAGTGTTGTGGTCTCGTCTACCAGGTCTCGCTTCAGCCTCACTACTTGGCGATGACTTGTTGTAGTTAAGTGATATAAATTTGTTGCATCTATCGTTTTGTGATATTTTAGTATGGGTGGCACCTCGCTATTTGGCGATAACTTATTGTAGTCGCTGATACAAATCGGTCGCATATGTTGTTTTGTGACAGATTAGTATGGGTGGCATGTGTAGTTTTGGTACATGAGGTAGCCATGTAGGGGTTTGCTAAAGTTATCTTGTCTGAGCAATCCAGATCATTTTCTTGGTCACTGGAGCATTGTACCCAAATTGGCACCTCTATATTTATTTGGAATGTTCAATGAAATATCAACCTCTCATTTCTTGTAAAAAAAGAATCTGTAAAAAGAGAAACGATAAGGGTACAAGCAGACAAAAACAAAAGAAAGATAAAGAAAATGAATGATAAAGAAAATGAAAGGCTGAGATTAAAATACCTAAATAGCTATGAAAATCGAAGCTAATAGCTCAAACACCCGTAGCATTGAAGCCTCATCCGATTTTACACTTCACTTTGATCTTTTTCTTTTGTGAAAATGAAATTCTTACTTGTCTTGACAGGTGTTCAAATTTCTCATGTCACGTCAAGATGAGATTCTTTCGAATTTATAAACTTCTCTCCACTTCTCATTTGATTGCATTTTCTCTTTTCATCTTCCAAATCTTGTAACCATTTTGGGGACATATTTTCAAATTTGTTTATATTCTGGATTGCAGGTTCTTCCTTGTCAGATCAGGGCTTCGGTTTGTTTTTACTCCTGGATCTTGTTGCCTCGCCTCTGTTTAACCTGAGGTTTGTTTTCGAAATATACACACACACAAACTATGATTTCTTCTCTTGTTCTTAGCATTTCTACAGAGTAGTGTCATTTTTTTTTCTCAATAGTTAGGTGGGTTACTTGATTTCCACTATGGCACTAGCCCACAGACTGACTTTGTTTCTCTTTTTTTTTTTTTTTTTTTTTTCTGCATATATATGCTCGATTAACGTAAATATCGTTGAATAAATAGGACAGGTTGAACATGGCAGCTATAGTTGTTCCTACAGTTCTTAACCGTAAGAACTATGTTGATTGGAGTTCTCGGATTAAGAGCTACTTGTTAGCTGAAGATCTTTGGGACGTTGTCGAAGGCAGCTATAGACCTCCTGTAAGAGAAGGTGAATGTGATAATGAGGCTTGGAAGAAGAAGAATGTCAAGGCCTTATATGCAATCCAGAGTTCTTGCGGGGATGATACTTATCAATTAGTCAAGACAGAAACCAAGGCCAAGCAAGCATGGGATACTTTGTCATTTCTATTGAAGCCTGATGAAAATCCACCAGATGAATATGGTACGTACATACATAAAAAGTTGAAGCATGGGATACTTTGTTAAAAACTTTTAAACATACGGCAATGGTTGTACTTGTACCTTGTTGTAGGTGATCCATGATCCTATTCTGATTTGATGACGAGGAATATTTTGCAATTATTTTCACACGCATATGCATTTGTATGAAGGGAAAAGAAAAAAGAAAGTTGAGAATTGAACAATAACATCTGTCATCTTAACATCAAATTTCATTTTCAGCAAAGATGTCACTTCGTCAAGCGCATCCGTTTTTAACTCTGACTGACCGTGATGCTAGGCCAGAGTTAACCATGGAAGAAGGACGCACTGAAGGTATACATAAGTATACCTTGATCCTCACAAATTAATACTTCTATATATTCTATTAAATAGTAAATTAATGATAAACATTTACGTTTAGTATGGCTAACCCACAAACTATGGCATGCAGGAGGAGCAGGACATGATGACAGCAATGCCAACGATATCCATGAAACTTTCGTCAAATATGTGAAGTCTAATGATTGGGATAATGCAATCGAGTTTCTTGGCAAACATCCTGAGGAAAGAAGTGCAAGAATTTTATATGGCCGCACAGCTCTTCACTGTGCAATCTGGAATTTCAGGAGTTGCAGCGTGCGCGTTATAGAACAGTTGGTGGATTTAATGACAAAGGACGACTTGAAAATTCAAGATACTGATGGTTTCACAGCTCTTTATACATTAATATATTTTTATCCAGAAATGGTTGAAGTAGCTAAACGCATGGTTGCAAAGAACGGAGAGTTAATTACTATTTTACCTTCTCATCTCGAGAGGCCTCTAGTTGTCGTCGTGGCCCAAGAGATGACAAAAGGGGAAAGAATGGCTCGCTACCTCTATTCTCTCACTCCTGACGAAATATTAAAAGTTCCTGATGCCGCTCAACTTATTTCTCTTGGTTTTTATTATAATAGACTTGGTACAATTTTTTACCATGTGATTTTTTTTTTCTTGTTATAAATTTTGTCTTTATTAACAATGTTCTTTTTCTCACTTCTTTTATATAGATATTGCGTGGGATTTGATTCAACGTTATCCAAAATTAGCCATGACTAAGGACAGCAAGGGAGATATCCCCTTAGTAACATTGGCCAGTAACCGTTTTGCATTCAAAAGTGGAAGCCGACTCAGTTTATGGGAAAAAATAATCTATTATGGTTAGTACATTAATTATTGCCTTTTATTTTCTTATTATATATATATATATATATTTTTTTTATTTTAAAGATAAAAGTCTAATTTTGTGAGTCCCTATTAAGGTTAGTCCACTTACTGAAATTGATTCAATTTCTAGAATTACACGTCATTATATTTTTATTTTTGTAACAATATACCCTAAGATTATGAATTGTTATAAATATGTAAATGCACATAATCCCTTAATTATAGGTTACTAGTTGAACGAATTCCTTAATTTTTAGGAGTCGAACTAGCCTCTTAATAACTTCCACTTTCCCATTCAAACATTGATTTTGTGTTCATCTTTATCCTTATCGTTTGCTTTTTATTTTGTGTTCATCTTTCTCCTTGAACACCGTTGCTAGTTTGTATATGCATAAAACCTCTTCCTCCCATTAATGATACTCATGTAAACGTTCGAAAAAATGAAGGTGATCATAATGAATCAAATTAATTGTCATTTAGTCATTTATGTGTACAGAACAAAACAATGATTTGATAACAATTAATATGAGACACTAACATTAAAATAAATAAATAAATAATAAAAACTTGCTTCAAAAGAGTATTTACTTGATTAATGATTGGGCTTGTGTTCTTTATCTTGATAGGTATACACATAAAACGTCTTCCTTTGGTCAACAAGGATAATCATATAAACGTTGAAAAACATGAAAGCGACCAAAGTGATGAAGGGCATCTCTCAGACCAAAATGAGAATCAAAGGCATCTCATTTCCTTAGGTATTTTACATATCTGCAATCCAATTTGCTTTTTGTTAATGCCACGGTAAATTGTTCCATAATGCTACTACAAAAATATATGAACATCTTTATTCCATAGTTCCTTCTTAGGGTTATAAATAAGTCGATCCAAACAAAATATTATGCTGCTCAGGCCTGATTTATTGGCTTGCTTATGATACAAGCCTAGCTAGAGTGAGCTTAGAAAATTCAGGATTGATACCAAGCTCAAGTTGTTTGGAGTCATTTACTAGACACATCAATTTTTACCCCTTTTTGTTTTAAAGAAAACAAAAGCATAGGTTTTATTAAATCAATACAGTACATTAATTTGAAAATACTTTTAAAATGACTGAAAGTGCTTTTGGTGAAAATATTTTTAAAATCAATATTTAGTAAAAATCCAAGTGGATCTTGGAAAAGCACTTTAAGTGCTTCCTGCAAAAAGCATATATTTAGTGCTTCTTCTAAAGTGCTTTTGGAACCCAAAATTAATACCACCGAAAGTGTTTTCAGTCATTTTAAAGGCATTTCCAAATGAGTCCAAAAACTTTTTGAACTTATTCTACATCAATTACAATTTGGAAGCCATTGTACACGTTACAAGCAAGTAAAGAAACTTTCAATTTTAATTTCGATATCAGCATAAAATGCTATAGTGACTTAATTGAGGGTAATTTGGGGAACCCGAAAAATGTTAAATATGACACAATCTCATTTAGGTAATTTGCTTAGGGAGAGTCTAGTCATTGGGTTTTCATTAGAAAAATAGTTTATGGTGGGTTTCATGTAAAGAAAATTGAGTTTGAAGGGTTTTTAGTGATTTTATTTTAACATTTAGCATATGAACAGTGACTATAAATTTAAAAGCAACTGTTGACTTTGCTATTATATAGAGTCCTTCATAGAGTCGCTTAGAGATGAGTTTTTCATATTTCACTCTTTAAAATAGAGTTTTAAAGGTTTTACAGTTTCTCTTGGAGATGCTATAAGGGGTAGGGCCGGCCAAGGCTCAGTGCAGGCAAGGCAATCATCCAAGGCCCAAAAAAAATGGGGGCACCAAAATTATTAGGGTGATATATTTATATATGTTTTCATAAGAGTATAAATTTATAAAATTTGGTTCAATCACACAGAAACTTAACTAAAAGTGATGGTTTTGTCATTTGAAAATAAGGAGGAGGTCTTGAGTTCAAAACACCATATGTGCTTATTTACTTTCCAATTTTTACAAATTTCTTTTCATAAGAGTATAAATTTATAAAATTTGGTTAAAGGATTAAGAAGTTTAATTAGAAGCAATGGTTTTTGTTGTTTAAAATTGACGAGAGGTCCTAAGTTCGAAATGCTATGTGCATGTTTATTTTTTTCAATTTTTACAAATTTTTGTTTGGTTGTTAACTTATTTTTAGTTATTAGCTAGTAGCTATGTGGGTTGTTATTTTTAAATATTTGTTTCAATTCAAATCTAATCTTCAACAATGAGTAATACGTAGACCAAATTTTTAGAGCAAATTTGCAAATTATATGATGTGTCATCAAAATGTTTAATTTAGTGACTATTCATTACTAATACATATCAATTAAAGACTCGAAAACATCATTATTTTTTTAAGTCCCATATTGACAAGGTTAGTAAATAAGAAAAAACGCCTCACGATTTGTACAAAAACAGATGGAAAACAAAAGTCATTGAGTTTGAAGTACTTTTCTAAGTATAATTAGTCTTTCTATGTTTCTAAATTATTGAGTTTGAAGTGCTTTTCTAAGTATAATTTTATTGATGTCTTACGTGTAAAAATAAATAATTTTCTTATATAAAATTAGGGCACTTTTTTTGGCGTTGCCCTGGGCCTCAAAAATCTCTGAATCAGCCCTGATAAGGGGTAGGGTAGTGGCTAAACCTTACAATGGATAGTCATAATAATTTGGTTCAAATTTGCCTTTGACAAGAATCAAATCGAAGACCTTTCACTTACAAGTGAAGATGAATATCACTAAACCTTAGTACTATGTGATTCCACCAATATAATTTTAAAGGTTAAAAAAGGCAAGAATTGAGGAACATAATAAAAAAAAATTAAATAAAAAAGTACTTTGGATGCAGTCCCTAGTCTTAATACTCTTTGATTAAAACCTTAATGGTATTCAAAGTTTGATCAAAGCTCTTTGACTTTGTACACCTCATTATATTACTATTAATATTTATATTTCTATAATCTTGACATTAATTGTTTGATATTTTATGAAATTTATAATCATAAAAATTTAAAATCCCTTATTATAATACTATTAGAAATGGCTACAATAAAAAATTCAAACACTTTGATTGAATAAATAGTTAAAAACTACGTAACAATATGAAATAATAAATGGTAAAAGAATGTATCCATTGTGTTAAATAAAAAATTGGTACATTTTACAAAAAGAATTGGTACATTTTACATATAACAAAGTGGTACATTAATAAAGAAGAATGGGTATATTATAAATAAATTACAGTACAAATAAAAGATTAAACAAATGAAATTTTAAAAAAAATATGGGAACAAAAAGAAATTAATACATGGGTACAAATTAAAACTAAAAAAACATAGTACAAATTAAAAAAAAAAAGGTTGCAAATTCAAAGTGGGTATAAACTAAAAGTATAAATATATGATACAAATTTTAGCCATAAAATATAGATATACCATATGTAATTTTTGTAACAATAAATGAATATTTTAGAAATTTAATGTAATTATGTTGTATATTGAAATAATGACATTCAGTAAAACCTAAGGACCTTGATAAAAAATTACAAAGAAATAAGGTTTCAATCAATAGAATAGAAAAAAGAGGAATGAAAATCTAATTTTCTCTACCGAGAGATAGGATAAACTGTAAATTGAAAGACTGAAATATGAACCTGACTTGCAAATTACAAAGATGTTAATGCAATTACCACTCACTTAGCTCTGATACCAAATGGGGGGCGGAAGCTTACAGTCTATTGGTAAAAATCCAACAAGAAGTTGGAGCACCACCGCACAGGAAAACCAAATAAAAAATCGTTTTCCAATTTTTACTTGCTTCAGGATTTTGAATTGGTAAGATGAACTTAGTCCTTTCGGGGAAATCCAATAAAACTGGTCAGATGAATTTAAATTCTTATAATTTTTTGCCTTTGCATTGTTAAAACATTAATTAAGTTTGAAGTTTCAATGACTATGGATTATATGTTTGGTACCTAAAATATGATTTTTGTTTTTTTTCTTCATAATATAGAATATGAATTTTTATCTTCCATAAAATACAAGTTTATGATTTTCTTTTTTTTTAGATGGTTAAAATGTTGGAGCTTTTTTTGTCTCTTTAGTTAGTTTATATATCGGCCCTGCACATTTCTCTAATAAATGTAGGTTCATTGATTCAAGTGTGTCTCATCTTAATTAGAAAGATAGTACAAATATGATACAACAAATGTGATAAAAATAACATTTTTGTAAGGAGAAAAAAAATAAAAAATAAAAGGCAAAGTAATACACATAGGTGGGTTTGATAAAATTAACTTATAATGCAGGAATGGGTTTATTCCGAGGACTACTGACGAATCTCCAAACACTTTTGGGTAGGCCACATACACATTCCTATCATTAACTTTTATGATTGTTTTATTAATAGTCAATATTATATTAAAATGATTGTAACTTTGTATTTACTTTTAATGAACCTAGGAATCAATCATATATATCAGATGAAATTGATGCATGAGCGGGTCAAGCAGTTTTTACCTTTCATGTGTAAAGCAGTGAAAGCACAAGGTATGAGTTATTATAAAAGAAAGAAATTGAACGAAGCACTGTGCGTGGCAGCAGAACGAGGGCATGTGGAGTATATTACTCATTTTTTTATAGATTCCTCATATCCTGTAGATGACGTTAAGAACGAAAAAGGCCAAACCTTGTTGCAAATTGCAACTGAATGCCGTCACCACAAAGTTTATAATTTTATATATGATCAGTTACTTAAAAAAGAAAATATACTTGGCCTTGATCCATCCGATGAAATACGGGAAAGAGTGGGGTGGAGAGATTACTTTGGCAATAATCTGCTACATACGATAGCAAGAATTACCCCATTGTCACAAATTGATCACATTCAAGGTGCAGCTTTGCAAATGCAAAGAGAACTACAATGGTTCAAGGTGATTATTTATCTATATATGCTTATATTTATGAAATACTTAGCCTATATGTTGTTTATATATATTTTTGTGCCTATAACTTTACTCTCATTTTCTCCTACTGCTTCACATATTTTTGTTATTCTATTTATTCAATTTCAAAGAAAAAAAAGAGAATGCAAAAATTATTCTCTTTAAAAATTAAAAATAAAAACAAAAGGTTTGTCGACATACACAAGCATTATGGGAAAAAATTGAATTAAAGGAAAACATTATTATTTAACTACGTACTGTACTATCATCCTACATGCTTAACTAATGATTTTGGGTTATGTGGTGTCTCAAATGTCAAAAGTTGAGGGATTTATACGAAGGATAAAGATTTCAGAGTCACATCCATAAACAATTTTGTCAACAAAAATGCAGGAGGTGGAGAGCATAGTGGATCCCAAGGATTGTGAATCTGTAAACAAAGATAATAAGACACCACGAAAGTATTTACGGAGAATCACAAAGAATTGGGGAGAGAGCAGAAAAATCAATGAAGGAAACATCAACTTCTTGTACAGTTGTAGGTGCTCTTATTGTCACCATAATGTTTGCTGCAGCATTCACAGTTCCTGGTGGAAATGATGAAAAGACAGGTCTTCCTACATTCTTAACCAAAAAGGTGTTCACAACATTTATAGTGTCAGATGCAATCTCACTCTTTTCTTCTACAACTTCAGTTATCATGTTTTTGGGAATTCTCACATCACGTTACTCTGAAGATGATTTTCACAAATTTTTGCCAACAAAAATGATAGCAGGCCTTTTCACCCTCTTTTTATCTATTGTCACCATGATGATTGTCTTTTCTTGTGCCCTTTACATTATGCTTGACGGGAAATCATCAATTGTTGTTCCAAGCATGCTACTTGCCAGTGTTCCAGTTACCTCTTTCATATGGATGCAATTTCCGTTACTTGTTGAGTTATTCATTTCTACTTTTGGACGAGGAATATTTGATAGGAACCAGAAAACTTTGTTTTGAATTCTTAGGTTATCTTTAGTTAGATTCGGATTTGCTACTTTCTATCAAACTTGTAAAGAGAAGCCAATGTAAGTGCTTTTATTTGAGAATTATGCGTGCGCTTTCTATTTAACAGTTGTGTATTCACTTTCGATCCTAAAAGAAAGTTCCAACTTCAAATTATTCTTTTCAGTTTTCTTTTTTGATGAATTTCTGTTTTGAGTTAGTTACTAAGACAAGCTCTTTAGAAAGGCTTTGTTTTTAATCGATAAATCGAATTCATTGTAGCAAGATCAAAAGGGGGAAAAGTACAACAATCTTACCTCAAGTATGGAAAAACATAACCCAGCAAGTTGAGACTAACAAAACTAAGCCATGCATACAAAATGAGGGTAGTAGAAGTCACTGCCTAGCCATAACAGTTAAAATACTGGAGGACATGGTAATCCATCGCATGACAGGAGTACAAGACCAAGACCAAAGACATCATATTTTGAAAATTACACATACATCCAAAAATGTTTGAACTTTGAGAAGATAATTCACGTTTTAGTAGTTTAAAAAGTATTTGGAACATGAGAAACCCTTCCACAACTATTATTAACATTGGCAGCGATGAATGCACTAGAACATTGTATCGGTTCATATTTCGAATACACTAAAAAGTCTATCCCCACGAGGGCCGCAATACATACATTAACCACCATCCACAATTGGACCTAGCAAGACATTTAAAATTCCTTGATAGAATTCTCTACCAACTTCCAATTTCAATGTCTGTTTTAAATTTAGGTTTGGAAAGAAGTTCTGAATTTACTTCAATTGCATTAATTAAATTGCACAATACTACATCTATATATAATTACAAATGATTTCTATAAACTAGCTATTTGTTATAAAGAAGGAACATGAACAATTCCTTTATATTTTTTGACTAATTCACGTTGATTAAGGATTGAATTGTGAAAGAGTGGATGACTACTCAACACTCCCCCCTCAAGTTGGAGAGTGAATATCATGAACACCCAACTTATATAACAAAGAACGAAATCGTCCCTTGCCCAAAGCTTTGGTAAAGATGTTGGCAAGCTGTAACATGGATGGAACAAATCCCGTGATGATTTTTCCTTCTATGATTTTATCTCAAACAAAGTGACAGTCAATTTCAATGTGTTGTGTTCTCTTATGAAACATTAGATTAGCCACAATACGAAGAGCAGCCTGATTGTCACAAAATAAGGTAGTCGCCCCTTTGTTGTGCATTTGTAAATCACAAAATAAATTCAGTAATCATGCCAATTCACAACATGTTGCTGCCATGGACTTTTACTTCGCTTCGGTGGAGGAAAGAGAAACGGTTTTCTGACATTTGCTTTTCCATGAAACAAGAGTCTCCAAGGAAAATAAAATAGCCAGGTGCACCTTTCAAATATTTTAAGATACATAAGACAGCTTCATAATGCGGCTTTCGAGGAGCTTGCATAAATCTATTAACAAGTGGACTTAATATGTGATGTCTGGCCGGGTAATAGTGAGGTAAATTAGACGACAAATCAATCTCCTATACTTGGCCAGATCATTGATCTCACCTTCATCAGGAAGTAATTTTAGATTTTGCTCCATAGGAAAATTAGTATACATAGATCCTAGAAATCCCACATCATCAAGAATATCCAATAAATATTTCCTTTGTGAAATAAAAATCTCTTTCTTGGAGCGTGCCACTTCTAAACCCAAAAAATATGTTAAATTACCAAGATCTTTGACATGGAACTTAGTATTTAAAAACATTTTTGTGCTATTAATGGTGGTCAAGTCATTCCCAGTAATTAGAATGTCATCAACGTAAATAAGAAGAACAATAAATGACTTGCCTTCTCGTTTGTTGAAAATTGAATAGTCAACTTATGGTTGAACATAGCCAGCAGACTTAATGGCTTGGGAGAACTTGAAAAGCTATGGTAGAGAGGCTTGTTTCAAACAATAAAGTGACTTGTTTAGGTGACATACCAAATTCTCTCCTGGGCACTGAAGACCAAAAGGTAGATTTATGTAAATTTCCTCTATGAGATCATCATGGAGAAAATGCATTATGAATGTCAAGTTGATGAAGAGGCCAAGAATAGGTGGAAGCAAGAGTGAGAATGCAACGGCAAGTGACTAGTTTGGTAGTGCGAGATACCTTCGTGTTGAGTATACCCTTAGCAACCAAACGAGTTTTGTAACACTTAATAATACCACCGGTTTTGTATTTAAACCAAACGAGCTTTGTAACGTTCAATAATACCACCATATTTGTATTTAATTTTGTATAACCATTTAAATCCAATGAGTTCCTTACCATGCCCCAAAAGAGTAATGCTTCATGTGCAATTAGCTTCTAAAGCCTTGATTTCCTCGTTTATGGCCTGCTACCACTTAGGATCTTGATTAGTTTCGACATAATTGGTAGGCTCAATATGGGTGAAATACTTACAAGAAAAGCCAAATGAGTGGGTACCGTGTATTAAGACTGACAGACGAGAACTGAGCAGGGGCAACGTAATATTGGAGAAAACATAATTTTGGAGTTTTATTGGTGAAACCATAACAAGACCAAATTATCACAAATGAGTAACAGGTGTAAGTTCATTTGCAGAATGTGCTGATGGCTCATCATGGCCTATATGAGTGTCATATGGACTTGAAGCAACTACTACCAAGTCATCTCGGGGTAGTTGTAGGCTTAAGGACAGGTTGTTTTGAGTGTGGTGAAGTGGAATAGGCCATTTTGTGAAATTGTGGTATTTGTGTTATGATGTCTGATAATGGTAAAGTGTTTGGAAGCTCAGCAGATGCTACTAGGACTGGGGATGATTAAGTGTTGGGTTATGACAAGGAAAAATAACGTCGTGAAATACAACATCCCAACTGTGGGACCATGATTTTACAGGCCGAAGTAAGGCTGATCTGAATACTGTTACCTCAAAAGGCCAATCATAAAATCACCAGCTTCAAGTGGAGATGTATTAGACAGAGTAGGGTGCCACCATCACTCTACTCCGGGGCAATAGGGGGAGCCTTAACGACTCCGTTGGATGACCATCCTTGTTCTGTAAGATAACGACTTGATCCGGATATGGGCACAATTAAATCTTATAAGTCTTGGAGTCCCTACAATCTATAGATATACGTGTGCCACAAGTATTCACACTCCTAAGAGGATGCAATATCTACTTACTAGATATCCTCTACGATTCTCCCGACTAAGAACAAGGATTCTATCCTAAAAATGCCTTTCTCCCACGGTATAAATACACCCATGAAGGTTTATCTACGGTCACACAATCTATACACATGAATTCTCTTGCCCACTGCTTAAGTCTAAAATCATTCGCTAACTTGATTGTCAAAGAGCATTTGCCAGCACACACACACCCCCCTCCCGGCCTAAGGTTTGTTTACGGTTGTTTTACTATTTTCCAAGTTACTCAGGATTACACGAATTTGTGCTTAACCGCCGCTCATGAAGGTGCGGGGATTTGGTTTCAACAATTGGTCCTTTTATTGAGAGAGAATTCATATTTCTCTCGACCAAACCATTATATTCCATGAAGACCACGTTGAGGAAATCGCTATTTTAACAAACCATAAACCAAAATGAAGAAAAGACTTATTTCACCAACGAGGTTTGGAACAACATCCTAAAGGTACATATGTCGGTGAAAGACCTCAAAAAGAATTTACAAATCAGAGAAAGAATGAAGCTTGCCATTCTGAATGAGACTATAAAAACTATAAAGGAGGACCTCACCCGATTAGAGAGTCATATTCCAAAACGATTGATCTCTGAGCCCTTCCTAGTAGCACATCCAACAAGGCTACAAGAAACTCTAGGATTGCCACTTCACCAACACTCAAGTAAGAAGTTTTTCCCATACATCAATCGCATAATAAGAAAACAGGAATATTTCAAGAAAGTAAAAAGGAAAAAGAAGATGACCCAGGGAAAACCTTAGGCGAAAAATCCTTTAACCAGGCTAGGAACTGCTTGCCCGCATTCTAATGGCACCCTCATCGTCAGGTTACAAATCCAGCACGCCATCGTCGGAAAGGTTTTAATTGATAACGGGCCAGAAGTCAACATCCTCTTTGGAGGGGCAACTATAAAGATAGGCATCATGGACGAAGTTAACTCGAGAAGATCTACTATCCAGACACTTAAAGGGACTCTACTCAACACTCTAGGCACAATACATCTCATGTTTCGAGCACAACCATCTGAGTATATGATAACTTTCCATGTGATGGATAACCCGTCTCCATAAAATGTTGTCCTTGGTTGAGAATGGTTACATGTCATGGGAAAAGTTCCCTTTAAAGATAGAATTTCGCTCGCTATCCCACAATGTTACCAAGCAATGAAAGATTCAACAACAAAGAAATTGCCTATGCTAAAAGATGGAGTCCCCACTATAGACAATCAAAGCCATTATATACTGCGCCAGGTGGCCTGAAACAAAGCTAATCACAGCATGAACTACACGTGATTTGATTCCCTTCTCATGATTTGTAAGCAGTCATTTCCGGACTCAATCACAACCCCGCCATCTGTGCGAAGACAAGTCCACGGAGAACTCATCTCCTAACACCCTACCATATGCTTATCTTCAAAAGTGATCCCTAATGTAATTTTTATGCCATATCATATTTTCCTTATAACTACACTAGTGGTTGGATTCTCCATCCCGAATACGAAGGCAATCATTTTCAGATTCAATCACACGCCCCCTCATAAACCAACTTTACTTGGATCATGAATAAATAACATATGTTTGTCTTAAATACGTGTTCTTTCTTTATTTTTTCGATGATGCAAAGAGTACCCTACTCATTCAAAATAGGGCACAAACTTTGTAAACTTCACAGTAATGCAAGTTTACAAACGTTCAAAGTTCCACTGTCAAATGAGCCTCCTTTATCCCAATCCGTCTAGAATGGTTAGCAACTTGGAAGACTCAAACCATAATAAGCGCGGTAACGATTAACGGGTTACGGCCACGAGCACATGGCGCCTTAACCTAGAAGTCCAATACATCATCTGGCCTCTGTAAAGTTTATGTAACCAGCAAGGTTGTAGGTTATAAC